GCAACGTGATTGTTGCATTTTCTGGCCGAAGTCTTCAGTTTGGTTGTCTTGTCATTTGTGTTTGTGTTGCTTTTGTGTATAAGGATTGTATATCCTTGCTTGGTCTTTTTTGTTTTTGTGTAGTTAGGTCCCTTGGGGCTTGGGCATGTCCAAGGTTCTCATGGGAGTCCCTTTTTTAGATCGTAATTCTTTAACTTTTTAATAAAATTACTAGGTTTACCTAAAAGTAGAACTTGGATCTTCAAGGTTTGCAATTAATTGATTGTATATTCTTGCTTGCAATTAATTCTTCCCTCTAGCACCAAAAAGAACAAATAAAAAAGAAGTACAATTTGTATTAATGATCATGTGCAAATACGTGGAAACCATATTTATTCACATAAAAACAAAATAAAAGTTCATGAAAAATATCACCACAACTGATTTTTTCTCCAGTTTCATCCTAAACAGGTTCCATCCTAACATCCTAAACAGTAAGTCCAATTAATTCTGCACAGCCGATTTTTTCAAATTTTGCAACTTGTCAAATTCTGCACAAAATGGAGAAATTCTGCAGCTTCGCAAATTCTGCACAAAACGGAGAAAGACCATAACTTCTCAAATTCTGCACCATAATATGATGGAAAATGTTTTAGCAATTACCATCTTCCACTATATGTCCATAGGAAATTCTAAGTTATAAATTGAAAAACAAATAGAACAAGGTTTACAAGATAAATAAAGAAACCAACCCACGTTCGCCCTTCTCCGGAATACATCAGCTACTTTTCATATCGACATACTGACAGGCTATTCGCAAGTGTACGAAATCGTGCAAGTAATAAAGCTCGAGTAAACGAGTGTCGAATCCCAAGAGAACTACCTACCAAATACCAAACTAGTATATTTTATTGCTATTTGATGAAACATAATTTTATGAATGAATTTAATGAAAAGGAAAACAAATTAAAAACTAAACAAAAGCAGAATTTCCTAAATACTTTGGTATAAAGATCAATATGACTAAACTTAGGGCACCGATTTCACACCAATTTAATCATATACATTGACAATTATTCCTAACCTAATTAAGCTTATTTTTAAAGACCAAATTCCCTGATATTCCACTAACTTTCTCTCGAACAATTAGCGAATTAACCCTTAAGCAACAACCCAAAATATCTCTAAGTTGGATTTAAGAGCTAAGAGATCATTACATTTTATGGAATTTACCAGAGCCTCATAGATCGCAGTAACCTATCTCTAGCGTTCGCTTAATCTATAGTTTTATTACCTTAAACAAATTAGGTATCATCTCTCGATCTCAACCCAACCCATGATATCATTCAACTCTCGGATCCTTAAGAATTGAAAGCATTACACACAATAATAAAACTTATAATTAATGCTCAATAAGAATTAACAACAATAAAGTCAACACGTATTCATAAATTGGGCTACATCTTTAGCCCTAGAAAAGGGATTTAGTTCATAATTGCAATAATAAAAACAACCATTGTATTCAATAACATGAGTTCAAGAAAGAAAAATAAAAAAACTTCTCTAATTGGTGAACGAGAACTGCAAGAATTCCGATCTCCAAAATAGTAGCCGTCCTTTCTCCTTCTCCAATCTCCCTTAAAACTAATTAAAAATCATTATTTATAGTGCTAGGGTTTGCAGGTTACTTAGGAAAAGAATTAAAATCCTTAACCCACTCAAATTCGGATTAGGAGAATGCAATAAGCCAAATAGGCCCGTGACCCATCGCTGCGGTGATGAGAAACGGTCACTGCGATGATCATTCTTTCCATCCCCAGAGTCCCTGAACTTCAGAATTTGATGAAGTCATCAACACAAACTTTGTAGCTCTTTGAAAAACCTTTCCAACGCCACCAGAATCGTCAAATTTTGATTACTACAGCTCAAGTTATGATTGAAACATCGAAGCATGCTCATCTTGAAAGATTTCCAGATTTTACGTTATATTTTCGACGCATCACAACTTTCTCGTTTCAACTCCAATTCTTGCACCGTTTGTTCCTACTCATCACGAATTCCATCGACATCATTCTTTTTCCTTCAAATATCGGTTTGAACCTGAAAATACTCAAAATACACCCGTGATCCTGTAAAAGGTATTTATGAAATAATCAATTTGAATTCCACAAATTAAATACATTTTTCCAGAAATAATTCAATTAAATAACTAACAAAATGTATACTTTCAAGCTCTTATCACATACCTAAACAAAGAAAATATCAACCACTTAGAAAAAATAAATAATTAAATGATGAAGTTATACATAAAAAAATGTACATGTGAAACAGGCATGAAGACATCCAACAATCTGCAAAGTCCATCACATGAAGAAGAAAAAAATAAGGATAAAAGATGAATTATGCCACCTGGATCCCTTGGCATCAATCCAAATTAATTACTCTAATTTTACGCCAATCTCCTGGAAGTTGAGCTACAGTTTGCTCTCCCCATAGTGGAGCAAATTGTCCCAAGTGCTTGTACCTTACAATAAAGGATTATGCAAGTTTAGTCAGACCGCAAGACGTCACAAAATTCCTAAAACTTCACTATTTTGTTAAGTTCTACTAGATATTCCATTTCATTACTGTATAATCTCAAAGAAAACCTTCAACGTATTAGATTTTATCAAGAAGATAAACTTCAACTATCATAATGTTATTATTCATTAGAACAAAACTTAACTTCATTTTCGTTATATCCAGTGGTATCAGAGCTTAATTATAAACAAATTAGTGTTGTAAATCAAATAAGAACTGAAATACATGAATAAGAAAATAAACTAGGAAATTATTGGTTACGTACCTTTATTGGTATTTGAAATGGGGCAATTTCGAGATATTATTATGTCATCTAATATTAACAAAAGATAGTTGACAACCCCAAAATACCTGAAAAATCTCAAATTTACGAGCGATAGTGAGTGGCAGATCAGAATGGGACATTTTGGTTGCAACCTTTAGTCCTAAAACGTGTGGCACATTCCCTTTGGACGTGGAAAGAAGGAATTGTCCTGCAGTTCGTTTTGGCTTAACTTCTCTGTACTTTGAATTGGACACTTAAAATTTGATGACTTAGATGAAAGCGGTGGATGTGGACTTGAATGAAGAGCTGGGCCTTAACTAAACACAAGGTTGGGCCTCTTCGACACGTTCCTACCAAAGTGTCATTATTTTAACCTGTCATTGACTCTTGATTAACTTTGATAATGGCTTTACGAATAAACATTAATTATTTGAGTAATTGAATAATACTCGTCTGAACAAACTATTTGGTCTGTAGTGGGATATCAAGATTTTAGGTTCCGATTCTTTTAATTTTTTTAGAATAGTATTATATTTTGAATAACATTTAATTAAATATGATAGGATTATGAGTATATGTTTGGTATATTTTTTTTAAATATTTTCTGAAAATATTGAGATTACTTTTAACCCCCAATATTTGTTAATTTAACTAAATACCCTTTATAATAAAAGTTTATAAATTAACAAAAATATTTTCACCCACCCAATAATTGTTAGCAGCTGGCCAATGGCCACCACCGCCGAACGATGGCCAAACATCATCGGAATAGCGCACGACCGGCTAGATCCAAATGGTCGTGCACCATTTCAACGACTTTCGACGGTGGTGGCTAGCTACCAACAATTATTGGGTGGGTGAGGGTGTTTTTGTTGATTTTTAAACTTTTATTAAGAAAGGTAATTTTTAAATGTTTTTAGTTGAATAGAATATGATTAGGTTTTGAAGGATATTATAACAAACACATCTTTCATTTTTTAAGAGAGAATGGTGAATTAGGATAGGGTGAGATGTGAGAGTAGTGTACCAAATGAAGTCCTATTTGAGTAAGTTATTTAGAGCTCTTATGTTCGAATCCCACAAAATGATTATGTGATTTACCTATGACCTAAACACATATCTCAAATGATTTGTCATTGTATATTGTATTGTCTTATCATTTAATGCATTGTCTTTTTATTTTTAAGTTAATACCATATGTGATAATATAATACCATATATATATAACGTCTTATTGAAATGTAAAATTTGAGATAAGTTTTGAAAAAAGTAGTATATATAACATAAGTTTTCGAAAGTTCAAGGTTTACCCTTTGCTCTATCGTCTTCTATTGATACAAAAATCTGCACCAACTAAAGAATTTCGATTGACTTCATCAGAATCGGAATGAATGTGCGCGTGATTAAATGAAAATCAATAATTGAATAATTAAATAGAAAATACAAGTAATGACAAGAGACAATTTTTAAAGTGGTTCAGTAAGTTTGAATCTTGAGCTTACGTTAACTATTTTTCCAATTGAACGAGAATTATAAACGATGAATATTTTCCTAAAATAATTGTCCTGCCTCCTGAAAACAAGTTATGATGGGTTTATATAGCACCCATTTACATGAAAGAGTTTAGATAATATTCAAATACGTAGGATTATGAAGTTGTATGATCTTCGACTATCTTAGTTGGAATCTAAGTTAATCTGAATATCTTCCTTTTAAATTGAATAAATCTAAATATCTTCTCTCCTAATAGGGAATTATCCTCTCTCCGGGTTCCCCACACAACATTTTCATTACCTCCATTAGTAACACAGCCAAGTTTTGTTCATACAAATTAGAAAAGGACAATCAATTGTTTTATCCTGGCTGTTCTAAATTAATTAATAAAGCAAAGGAAGTCTACTACTGTTCTTTTATTTATTTTGTTTGGATAGTCAAAATTTCCCATTTGATTAAGACGTGACGTCTAACCAAAATTACGCAACTGGGTGATTTCCACGACAAAATCCAAAAACAAGAATGTCTAATTAAATCAAAAAGCGATTAAACAAGAAGAAAATCCCTGGAAAAATTAAAAGCAAAACAAAACAAAGGGGAGGGGAAATAGCAGAGCAGCTGCTCATTTTGGAACTTTGATGTGGACCCACACCTCTCTCTCCACCCACGACTTGGTACATACTAAACACCGGCTTTTTGTAATATAACCTGCATCAATATTTTATCTTCCAAATTCCGCTTTAAAAACCAAGGAAGGAGCCCCAGTTCAAAAGTCATCAGATCGAACCGCATACAATAGATATAGGCTCAACATTCAACAGTTATGACGACCACCACCTTCTTGCTAAATCTAACGGTGATGGCAGTCCTCATCACCACAGTCGCATCACAACAATATACCAATCACACCGTCGGTAGCTCCATGGGCTGGTTATTCGACGCCAAAAACAACATCTCTGCCACTAATTACTCCTCGTGGGCCTCCAACCAAACCTTCAACCTCGGAGACTATCTCAGTAAGTTATAATTCTCAGTGCATTTATATCCATTCTTTTATTTTATTTTATTTTTCTTATTGCTTACTTTGTGATCTACTTAGTTTTCAACACGACCACCAACCAGACCGTGATCCTAACATACAATGACACCACATTTAATAATTGCACTACCGACGATGCATCAGATGATGATACCTTCCAGTTCAGCGGTGGTAACAGTGAGTTCGGTAAATCGTTGACAATTGCAGTTCCGTTGACCGTTGTGGGTCCCAACTTCTTCTTCTCGGACGCTGAAGATGGCATCCAGTGCCAGCGTGGCATGGCATTCCAGATCCTCGTCAATCATGGCCTGGGCTTGCCTCCTAGCCTCAATCAACCGCCTCCACCACCTTACGTCGCCCCGCCTAGCCCCGACACTGCTCAGTCGCCGCCGGTTACAATCGCCGGTGGGTCACCGTCCCTGGACAATGGTGCATCAAGTAGGCTTATTAATCTGCGCTTTTTGTTGCCTTCGTTACTACTCTGTCTTGCGAGTGTTCTAGTGTGAAACCGGATTGGTATTTTTGAATTAAGTGAGGGCAGTTTGGACTTTGGATATTGTGGCCATGTCTGAAAGTCAATAATATAGGGGCTATTTTTGAGATTACAGACGTTTTGGTTGGGATATGTTTGGATATAGGATTAGGGTGAGCTTTGCGACGGATGGACTCATATTCATGGTCGGGTGGGTTACAGATTCTTTTGTATTTGGTCAAATAAACATTGAGAAATAAGAGGGGAAATGATTAGAGCCCCTAAAATTTTATTTGTTTTTGATAAATCTGAGAGAAATCAAAAATCAACGCGTGATATGGATATAGCCATCCTTATCAGAGTCTTTAATGGTTTAACGGGTCATTAATGATTTTGACTTGCAAACGGGCGGTTTAATATTTGTTTGTAACGTGGTTCCTGACTTCTTTCACCGTTTATCTCGATCATGTGCGTTGCATGTTCTGTTATCTTTTAAACAAAATAAATTAATGATTCTTTATTGATTAACAATTTATTACAAACAAAAAAAAGAGATTGCCTCCACTTCAAGCCACTTTGTAAAAGTTTGCTTTTGAACGGATAGACTGTAGGGTTTTGTTGCAACGGCCAAACGGATGAAACTAATTCGTTTTGCAATAGCAAGGGTGTCATTCTCACCTTTTTTCAACCGTTATGGAAGCAAGCAAATTGTCTTTAATAGGGTAGTACATAAACGGTCCAAATGCTAGCCCAAAGAAGAAAGAAAGAAATAAGTAATCATATCCGGAGTAAAAGACTTTTTCCCACGTATATAATGGTTTAGTGGTAGTTTTTCACTTATAAACTTTTAAAATATCATTTTATTACTTAAATATAATGGTTTAATAACATTTTTTCATCCATATACTTTTAAAATATCACTTTACTACCAAAATTTATATTCTGTTTTCAACTTCAGTATCGTTACGATCCTACACTATTACTATTCTCTTTTCTGATAATTATTCACCAAAATCTTTCAAACTTTACTCTCATTGATCCTGTCAATCGCCAATAATCGAGCGATTAAAGTTTGCGTAACCGCTCTTACGTCAAATTTCTATTAATTCCAATTACCAAAATCCACTCTACCATCGGTGAAAGACTAATTGGCGTCCCTTCTTCAATGACCCTAACAACTTGGACCATTTAACCCCAAAATATATAAATATACAGTGAAAGGGCTACAAAATCCGTATTTTAATGGAAAATTTAGGATGAGATTGAGATATTTCCAAGTGTACAGTGTACAGTAACGGACAGACGTGCGTTAAGTAAGTAATAAAAGCGGAAAATTCAATGTGACAGACGGACATGTAATTTGGAAATAGAGAGTTTCTATCTGCTCTGGTCTGGCCTACACCACTTGAATGCTTTCATCTCTTGGAACAAATGCCGACGCTTAGAACTAGAAATCCATCCTTATGACGTTCACAATCACAAAAACGTAACGAAACTTTACGTCTAGTGAGAGAAACGTGGATAATTTAGAGAGAGATGGAGACAAATTTATAAAGTGTTGTGGGATCAACGTTTCCTTTACCTGCACTAGTTTAATTTCTGTCTCACATCTGATCCACAAATTATAATTCACTCCTTTACCCTACTCTTCAATCGGGCTGTAACTTCCTCTCTCTCTCTCTCTCTCGACAATACATTTCTTCGATTTTCTTGATTTTGCCTTTTTAATCAAAATTCTGTTTGGATTCCAGGAAAATGGGGTTGATTTCCGGGATTTTAATGGGGACGATCTTCGGGATCGTATTGATGGCTGGATGGCGGCACATGATGAGGTACCGAAGCACCAAGCGAGTTGC